CCCCCCCCCAGCCACAACCCAATCTGCCTGCTCCCAGCATGGCGTGGGAAAAGCCCCTCTTTAGAGATGTCTGTGGTAGACTTCACCAGGGACTGAAGCATGAGATGTCATTTATCATGACTTACTTGACATACAGAAAAAAAACACCAGGGAAGGCCACAGGAGAGAGTCTGAAAGTCACATTTGACAACACAATTTTTACTGTAACAGATTTTTGGTTCTCTGGGTGGAGGTGACTGGAGAACATCCATGGAATGGGAAGAGAATGGAATATTTCCCATCTTTCTGTAGGCTGGCCGAGAGAACTGTAATGCAACTGATTAAATCATAGCTGCAATTGAAAGATAAATCACACTCACCATATTTACAGTTGGAAAATAAGGCACACATTGACCTCTAAGAGGCCAAGAGTTCAGCCTTTACAGCCATTCTCTAATTAAGTGTGTCTCCTCACCTCACTTCTGTTATAAATAACTGCTTTCTAGATATGATGGGTAGAAATACAGATGTATAAGATTTAAAATAATTCAGGTAATCTGCTTTATATTTTGAATAGTATTAGTTGGGTTAGTTAGTCAAGTCCCTAGACACCAAGATGGAGCTTTATTTTCAGTTCCTCGAGTTATTTCTGAAGTGAGATTAATATTTTCCACATATGGAAGCAACATTACATTTCGCAAAAGATTAAAGACACAACATGTTAAATTCTTGTATTGTTCCTGCCTTTTTGCCTGAAAAATGCTGATACTGTTGTTGGTTTTAACTTTTGTCCCTGAAAACTATGCTTTCTCTTCCATAACTGTTCCAGCGTTGCTTTGAAATCTGCTTTAAACATCTTCTTTCTCCTTCTGCATTTTCTTTTATTAAATGCTCAGCAGCCTGACTTCTATAGCATTATAAAGGTATGTATTTTCTTATCTCTAATATAATGTCCAGATTAAGTCAATTCTAAGATCTCTTTGTTGTTGCTGTCCTTTTTGTAAGTGCAGCGCACAGCATTTTGTCTTGTGCATTGGGAGTTCTGCAGTGTATATATATATATATATATATTGGCTTAGGGAAGAAATGGATCTGGCAAGTAGTACAGCATAAAGCAGGAGTTGCTAAGTGCTTCCATCTTAATTAATTTAATTATGTAGCCCAATGATTTATGTAATAAAAATGAAGCATGCAGGCACATTGTTCAGGGGAGCGCTGGCATGCAAAACCTGTGCTTTAGATGCAATTTTTCCTCCCTTTAATTTCTCTGTCTGTCACAGGACTCAAGAGCTTATTACCATTTGCTGAACCAAGTTGCTCCCAAGGGAGATGAAGAAGGCATTCCAGCTATTACTATTGACATGTCAGGATTAAGGGTAAGATGAGATAAGTTTAGAGAAAATGCCAATATTTTCTGCCTGTTACTTGCATTGCTGGCCAGCACAGAGTTCCACTGGGATGTCAGAACAAATGAACTCTTTTTAGCATTGCAATACAGTCTTGCATTTCAGAAATCCAAGCTTTCAGAGAATTAAATGATGTGTTTTGCCTTTTGTTAGATATTACCACTGAAACTTTAACAACCATTTAATCACACTGATAAACTACTGACGTGTAACAAGTGTATCTAAATACACGTATTTGGGAATTTCACCAAATCATCCCCTTTTATATGGAATATGACTATAAAAGCAATATGGTGAGATGGCTGGATTGGAGATAAAGCCCGTTTGAAAACACAGGCCTGCCATTAGTAAAAGTGGGACAGGAAATAGCCATAAATCCAAGGACCTGCGTTAATAGCCCCCCACGCAGAGACTCCAAGTGGGTTTTGCGTGCAGTGCCAGGCGGTGGGGTGAGGCTGATGGTCCCGTTTTCTGCTGGTGCAGGAGAAAGACGATGTCCAGCGAGCGGAATGCATGCTGCAGCAGGCGGCCTGCCGGCAGTTCGTCACAGCCACCGACGTTGTCCGGGGGAACCCAAAGCTAAACTTGGCCTTCATCGCCAACTTGTTTAACAAATACCCTGCCCTGCATAAGCCAGAGAACCAGGACATCGACTGGAGCTCTATTGAAGGTAAGGAAAATGCAAATAAAGGACATTTCTGGCCACCCGTGCCACAGTATCCCCAGCTCTGAGTTGATGATACATAAACCTAACCTTATGTCCTTCAGACATACATTCATTGCACTGTTAACACAGGCAGCCTTGAGAGAGGGAGGCTGCTCTTAACTTGCATGTAGCTTCTGGTGTTTTGGGAGGCTGTTCTGTGAATAGCACATGGTAAAAGAGAAAAACGTTTGTGGGATGTCTGAACTAGTACAGGCTATTGAACGTGCTTGTTAGTTGAATTTAGAGTTGATCTGGCATTCCCTTAATTGAGAATGTAATTTAAAAACCAGATCTTGCATAAACCTGCTGCCTGCTTGCTCTGGGTTGCAGTCAGGACCACTGTTGTATGGATCATTTGCTGACCTTCAGGTCCTTCTTTCTCAACCTCATAGTGAAACTGTTCATGCTAGGGCACAGGCTGTTCTTGAATTCTTGAAGGCATTTCAAGGCCAATCTGCCTAAACGCTATAATATATAAGACATGAAGAAATATTACATGCTGCACTGTGCTCTCTTATTTCACATGTCAACTAGTGTCTCCTGTTTATGGTTCAGTGCACTGTAAATTCTGAGTTATGGTTTCATCACAAGACGTTTTACTGGAGTGTTGCGTTTTGCAGGCCTGTTGATTGATCTATCTGTTGTTTCAGGTGAGACAAGGGAAGAGAGGACGTTCAGGAACTGGATGAACTCCCTGGGTGTTAATCCACGTGTAAATCACTTATATAGGTAAGAGGAGGTATTACACTTCCTTCAGATGATAAATTCAGCCAGCAAATTGTTTACAAAAACATAAAAACTTTTGGACCTCATAAGAATATATGCTGCTTTTTTTTTTTTTTTTTAGGAAACTAAGTTTACCTCTACTAACAGTTTAGTTGGGTTCCTTTCTTCTCTTCTTTGGACAATGATCTATCTTTTTTATTGTTTTCAGTGACCTGTCAGATGCCCTGGTTATCTTCCAGCTCTATGAAAAGATCAAAGTGCCAGTAGACTGGAACAGAGTGAACAAACCACCATATCCTAAACTGGGTGGCAACATGAAGAAGGTACAAAAAGCTGTAATAGCCTCAGTAGTGATGCCTTATCCTCAAAGGATGTCGATATGATTTCAAACAGCAATGTGGGCACTCGTGTTGCTCTCAAGTCCCAAGTACAGCACATTAAATGATTTTTTGTCTAGTCAGTGAATAATTTTACATCCTGAAAAAGAAACATACATTTAACTCATTGGCTCTGTTGACAGGTGAACAATATTTGTAAAGTAAAAAGACTTGACACTTTTTGTGTCAATATTTAAAAACTGTCTGCAGACCACTTTTGCTACTGTTTTAGTCACCAATTATAATGCATCTTCACCGTGAGTCACATGACACCAGCTTAATTGCAGCTCTCTGGATCACTGCCCTCCACATCAAATGGATAAGTGATGATAAGCATTCTTGACCAGATGCCTCAAGAACCGATCACAGAGTTGCTGCTAAATACAAAGCTTTCTCCCAGCTATCTATCTGGATAAGTAATTCCAGCCAATTAGGCCAGAGTGATTAACTGACCTAAAATATTGACTGGGACACTAATGCTTTGTCTCAGTGCAATGCCGTGATGCTGGAGGTACCCATGAGCCACAGATTCGTATTTTCCAAGGTAATCTGCTTTTCAGGCCCTGATGATGAAGTATAACATTTCCTTATACGTTAACTGTTTACCATGGTATTTTGGGGACGGAACTGGCTGCTGGTAGTCAAACAACTGTATTATCACAGAGCTCCAAAACTCTTGTTTGCCCAGGAGGATCTGGGTTAAGCGATCCAAAGGATTTAAAGTAACGGTGTTTTGACCTTTTCTGTATTTTTGAACTGCACTAACTGACCCTGTTGTTAACAGCTTGAAAACTGCAACTATGCAGTGGAACTGGGAAAGAATCAAGCCAAATTTTCCCTTGTTGGCATTGCTGGGCAAGATCTGAATGAAGGAAACCGTACGCTCACACTGGCCTTAATCTGGCAGTTGATGAGAAGGTATGGCAGTCAGATACAAACTTCAGAGAGTTTTGGTACACCGGGTTTGCATCGTAATAGTCTCCTGGTGCTATCAGTGAGAAGGCTCTGCAGGTTACAGCTTTCTCACTCCTCTGTTCACACTTATATCCAAAGACAGAGCAACCTTTTGCTTGCTCCTAGTTAGGGATGTGATCAGGAAGCATATTATCTTGTGGGCAAGGGCATTACAGTCAGCTCATGAAGAAGATTATTATTGTCGCTATCTGTATAGCATGAATAAATGTTCATTGCATGGAAGAAAGAAAAAGAAGTTGAAAGGTCTCTGTATCAGGGAATGGAGAGAATGTACTGGAAACAAGGAATTGATGCAGAAGTTTTGTAATCTGCTACCTGAAGTGGATGCAATTCAGTAGCTCTCCCCACTTTAATGTAATTCTCTGTGTATGTGTGTTTTTGTGTTCAAAAGCTCCATAATTGAGTGTAAAGAGACCCGTGGTTAGGAACTGAATACAGACTAAATTCAGTCTATAAGGCAAGGTATAGGTTTATCAGGCAGGTAATTAATCTAGGGTTGTGGTGATTACTTGCCATCAATTTAGGACGTCTTTCCAAGATGTGTGCTGACATATAGGCAAAATATTCCAGGCTTATGTTTATGCAGGTCAGTCATAATGCAGGTCAGTCATATGATGGGCATAACAATTCCCTTCTGGCCTTGAAGTCAATGATTATTTTTTAAGCACTGTGAGAGTGAGTCATTTACAGTGAGATCAACTAAGAATTGTAGGAATTTTGAGTATCAAAACCTCTTGACACTCCCAAAACAGTGATTAGGGAACTGGGTGTCAATTACACCCAACAGATGAATTAGTATGTTATAATATAATTCATATATACTGGGAGTGGGTGGGAAGCAGGGGTATATCAGCTCTAAGAGGACCGTTGGTGTGATCCCAGTCAACCTGCGCATGTACAGGATGGTTCTGAGGTTTTGGTAGACTTTGAGCAAATGCAGGTATCCTGGCTTCCATCTTAAGGTACACCCTGAACATCCTTGAAGACATTGGTGGTGGAGAGAAGGTCAATGATGAAATCATTATCAGCTGGGTCAATGAAACACTGACTGCAACTGGGAAGGATTCAACCATCTCCAGTTTCAAGGTACAGTTTTTTGGTGGAAGTCTCTCCTTAGGAATCTCTTATTCAGTGTGTTTGTGTGTATGTTATATACATTGCCTGCATATAGATATATAAATACGTTTGCCTGCACACAATATATTATAATACAATTAGCTACATAGTTTGATTATTTTTCATTCCCTTCTAAAGGCAAGTTCAGATACAGAGATTTTATTCAAGGGGCTTTATTATGAAAAGGTAACACAAACATGATATGAACATAACAGGAAACGCCTTGCATGCCAGTTTGACATAGGAAATCAAAGTATAGAGTCAGAAATGGCAACTGGAATTAAGCAAGAACTGCCATGCTGTTGGTTATTAAATGATAGCACATTACAAATGACAGCATTAAAAAGAACAACAACAATACTTTTATAATATGGTAGTACCACTCAGGGGTGGTGCCCTATTTTGCAAGGCACCTTGTAAACACGGAGGTGGTCCAGTTGCAGAGAGCTTCCAATTTTGCTAACACATCTGAGACATTTCCCAAGCTGGGGAACATTCAGTGGATGTAAATCAGCAGTTTGCACCAGGCGAGGACAGATCCATCAGACTTCATATAATGAGCTCAGAAGTCACACAGCTGATCTCCTTCACACTTCTCATCAGTAGATGTGTATCAATGTCATCTCTCCACAGGAAGCAAGTTCACTAGCCCAGGACCCCATCTTTTAATTTAATGATGTCTCATCCATTGGGGAAAGAAAAAAAAAATCCTTGAAAAGGTTCTTAGTCTGCCTTAGATAAAAAAAGATGCTAAAGAACCTTTTTTTGAAGATCAAAATGGTATTTGACTGAGTTGTTCATTGCTCTTGAGCCTAGACTCTGGTTTTGTGGGAAATCTGTCATCCAATTCTTGCATCTAACTCTATTTTTCATTTATGCAGGATAGCAAAATCAGCACCAGCATGCCAGTCCTGGATCTCATTGATGCCATTCAACCAGGATCAATCAAATATGACCTCTTGAAAACAGAGGACCTGAATGATGAGGAGAAACTAAATAATGCTAAGTATGTTCATGCCTAGTGACATTTAACATGAGTTACCTGCTTAGGCTTGCCTGACTCTGTCTTTGAAAACTGCTCTGCTGTCATTCTCATCTGAGAAATACCTCCAGAGTTAGAAGCATGAAGGCTAGGACTTAGGCAGTAAAAAAGACTATCAATGGAAATGAAGTGTGTAATGTTATAATTCCTGCTTTATAATTCCCTTGAAAGGATCAAAATCACTTGGCTTCACAAGCTCCTATTTTCTCTTATTAAATTTAAAATTCTTTCAGAGATCAGGGAACAATGCCAACAACACTGAGCCATGGAAACCAGTGATTAGAGGTCATGATACCTCTTTAGTCCTATACAGGTGGAACAAGGGCATATGTAAGAGAGAAGGAGGGGGACAGGATTCATGCCCAAAAAACTGATTTTACAGATGTGGATATTGATTTTTTTTTTTTGCTGAGTGCAAACCATTTCCTAGCAGAGAGCCAGTCCTGGGGGCATCTCCCTTCCCTTTTAGAGTTATACAGATGACCTCCTGATCTGATCATCAGTTTAGCTTCTCCTTTGCTATGTGGCACCTACAAAAGAGAAAAGGATGACTGTGAGGCAATCAGACCTGCCATCATTTTTATAAAGTCTTTTCCCACTGTTCTTTTTCCCTTTCCTACCACATGTTCTCTTTCTTTCCTGCAGTCCTACATGTGCTTCTCTACACGTTTAATTTCTTCATCCTTCTGCTAATGTTTTCCTCCTTTCCCTTCCCTTTCTTTCCCCTGCCTGCATGTTTCTCTGCATTTTGGGGGGAATTTCACAAACATACGTGCTCTGCAGTGGGAAGAACCTGGGATTTTCAGTTTTTTTCATTAAACAATGGAAAGGGGAGACATATTCACTGGAGAACAGCCAGTAGCCATACAGCAGTACACTCTAAGCAGGGAGATGGGAAGGTCAGCCTGCAAATTCTGAGTATGACTGAAATAGAAGAAAAGTCTCTGAATGTAGATTTTCCAACAACACTTATCTCTACCAACATCAGCCTTCTGCTTTCCAACCTTGTGAATGTGTTTACGTGCAGAGATTGAGTTGCAGAAATTGAGGGGGACAGAATGGCTGGTTGTTAGGATAATCTTCCAGGGCATGGGAGATTAAATGTTTCATACCAGACTTTGACCTGCAGTCTCCCATGCTGCAGGTAATCAGTGCTCTAACCACCACGGAATACACTCTACCTTTTACTAGAAATTTGTTCTTTACGAACCTGTCTCATACATTCCTATAGAAAAGTTTCATTTTGATGAATCAGTAAGAAAGTTTCAAACCCGCTCTGGTTCTAATCATGTAAAAAACTTAACAGAGTGAAAATTAATGCCACTGCATGAATTTATTTATTTTCCCTTTTTTTTTTTTTAACCCTGCAATGCAGATATGCCATCTCTATGGCGAGAAAAATTGGAGCAAGAGTCTATGCCCTTCCAGAAGACCTGGTTGAAGTAAAACCCAAAATGGTCATGACAGTGTTTGCTTGCCTTATGGGAAAAGGCATGAAGAAAGTTTAAAGCACAAAAGACTTGTATTGATGCCTGGTATTCACCCTTTTGATTCCCTCAAACTGGATGCTCTTCTCCGTATAAAGGAAATACGCAGGGTGCTCATGCTTTTCAGGCATGAATGTTATACATGGTTCCAGATCATACAAAAGTTGTGTATCCACATGTATCCATGAAATGTTTTGTTTTGAACAGTAATACGTACTTGATTTCTTTGCCTTATTTTCCACTTTGCTAGATATAGCCATTTCATATTCCTGATTAAGTTTTCAATAGCGAGGCTTATACATATCCTTTTGTTAATGGAGACCAGGGTTTCCTGTCAGAAGTCACATGGCAACATTTGTCTTGGAGCGTACAGACAGCTTTTAGGATTATGAAATGTTATATACTGCTTCTGCCCGATAATGTCTTCATGCTTTTGGTAGCATTTCTGCCATACTTTCGTTTGGTTTGCACCTGGTATAACAAAAGGGGTTTTCTCAGGCCAATGCAAGTATTAGTCACTATATTTTTGGAGCGGTAGGATCCTCTTAGGAAATTCTTGTGGAAAGAGAGAAGTGTTTGGGGTTTGTGATGTGTTGCTGGTATGTGAACTGAGCAGTACTTGTCCCTGCAAGTTATGCCTCTGCCATCAGTGGCATTACTCACAGAGAACATTACTACTCACTGAAAAAAACGTACTGTAACTTAGGCCTTCAAGAACACCCAAAATCTGGAAACTTTGCAAGAAATGCTCTCCAAAGGATAATTCATTTTTTATGTCATAATACACTTAAAACATAAGCAGAATTCAAAGCATGATAGAAATGAAAACCATGTTAAAGAAACTAAGAGGATATACTCAGCTAGTAGCAATATAAGAAGTGAACCAAAGGGATGCAGAGTGACATATTTATGTAGTGAATAAAAATTAAACTCTGTTAAATTCACAGACTTGCACTCAAAGGGCTGTGGCCCTGATTCAGGAGAGCATTTAAATCTGTGCTTGCATATGAAACACATATTAAAATGCTTCCCTGAACCCAGGCTGGGATCCTCAACGGCGCTAAACGAGCATAGCTTTGCAGCTAACAAGGCACCGTCAGTTTGCCTCAGTCGAGGACCTAGCCCCGTCTATGGATAGTTGGCGGGTAATATTTGCACTGAGTCTCTTCCTTGGCATGAGTCATTTACTCTTCTGGCCTTTACGTGGGTGTGACTGTGGTGAAATGCAGAAGGAGGGAATTTTGCCTTAATGCAATCCCATTGACACAGTCTCAGTTCCCTCTCTCTCCCTCTCGCTCCCCTCCAGCCCCCTCAGAATTGCCTTAATAAAGAACCAATATTCAGTGACATGAGAAGTCTCTCCAAATAAAATGTTCTATAAAGCCAAATGTGTAGTCTTTGCTTTTAGTAATTCATGGGCTAATGGGGAAGTGTGTATCATATAGCTGAAACAGAGACAGATTTTTTAAAAAACCAACCGTGGGCTCGCTAAGGATGTGTCTTCCATGTTGTTATTGAAACCACAGATTGCAGAAAGCAGGATGAATTATTTCCTAGGTCATTTCTGAACATGCCACTCTGACATACTGCCAAAAATGAGACTGTGCTGGCCAGACCTGCAGCCTGAACCAGTACAATTTTCCCCATTCAGTGCAATACTCATCATCCTCTTCCTTTGCTCATATATCGATGAACTTTGCTTCTTTAAGCATTCTGCAGTGTAAACATGCTACAGTATCTCCCAGTGCTGGCAGAGGAGGAGAACTTCTCAAGCGTTACAGGACGGAGAGGTCACCCCAGCTGATTGCCCAGCAAGGGGAAGTTACCAGAGCATGGCGCCTACACCATTCCTCCTCCTTCCAGGTGTAGGAGCCGCTGTTGCCATACAAGGAGGGTGGCACTGAAAAGGTGGCTGCTCTCCCCTCGTGTTGCTTGACTTGGGAGTCCAGCAGAGGTAAACTGGAGAGAGGAAACTGCAGGCAGAAGCTGTGACCACCAGCGTTTCCCTCGGGTGAGACTGGCCGTGTATTTTGTGTGTGTTGCACGAGTGTGTGCGTGTTTGCACACTGCAGGGCCATCTTGGGCTGGATAGACAGTGAAGATGTGAAAGGGTCAGGTAGTCCTGCCTGAAGATGGCTCTGCTCCTGGTTCCACATCTCAGGGAGATGCCCTCACTCCAGACTCAGGGGCAGATGTGAGAGATGAAGTGGATGATGGATGGGAGACAGTAGGAGCATCGGGGGAGAGGGGGGCTTTCCCCTTGGTCCCAAATGAACACAGGCACTTGCTATCCCCAGAGAGAAGAAGAGATTTTCAGGCATTGCCCATTCACCAGCCCTTAGCGACTCATTTTTTTTTGCATGGGGGTAGGATTTTTAGAGAAGCCTGCTGAGAGAGGCAGGGAAAGGAGGCTTTCACACATCATGCATTTCCTATAGGCAAGATGTAGGACTTCAGGGGCCCTGGAGTTGGAAACCCGCCTCTACCTCAGGCTCTGGAGAGGGGCCAGGAGATGTACACTGTTATTCGAAGTACGTTTTGTCAAGAGGGCTGCTTTTCCTCCTCCTCAGCATCCCAGCACCGGAGCCAGGCACCTTGCCGTACAGCCCTCTCCATTGTTATGATAGTCTCCGGCTCCCAGGCTGCGTTTTGGGGCACTACCTCTGAACCCCAACCTGCAGCTCTGCACCAGCAGCAAGCCCTGGCACCAGCCCTGGCCCCAGTGCGGCAGGGAGAGCTAACCACGAGGTGGCACTCACTCTATCTCCAGTTTTAGAGACTGGCATGCCTCAGCTCTGAAAATGCTCTCTTCTGAGAAACGGAGAAAAATTGGGATATTTAACCCTAGGCAAAATGCTAGCACCTGCCAGCGTGCAATAGGCAGTAAGTGCTGTTGGCGAGGATACTAGAGTAAATGCCTTACCAGATCTTCATCCCTATCTCTGTAATCTCCTGTGAAAAATAAAGTTGTCATGGACCTGAAGGTGTGGGAATAGCCACATTCTGGTACACGAGTATAAACATTTTCAGTTTTCAATGCACCTCTGTTTAATTGGATATTCTTGGGATTTTGATGGACTTGAGGTGAGGTTTTGCTTTCATGAACTAGTGATAGTAGCCTGTAATAAAGCTCCCAGCAGCAGCTGAAGGGGTTAAACCCATGACAAACAAATAAAAAAATGAACTAAAAAATCCCATGATGTGGAATTTTTTGCTGTTCATTTTCTTCAACTTTTTCCATCACTCTTACAGAAAGCAGCTGTCTTCGGGATTCACTCCCAAATCAAGCTAGCTTTGTAAGCACTTCCATTATTGATTTTCATCGCATAATTAATCATAATTTTCAAGGCTTCAAAAGGCTTAGACATTCATATGAATAAAAATAAAGCATCAGCAGTTAGACTAACTAGGAGAAAAAAAGCATGAGGGCAATCAATCCACATGCTTCAGGGTATAGTCTGATCACCAGATGGACTCAGAAGGAAATATCCCCCTATAGTGTAGTAGAGCATAATTAGGTGCATGATGAGGATTTCACACCTTCTTGTAAATCATCTGTCCTGTCTGGAAGTCATCTGTTCTGGCCTCAGAAAGGGGATAGCAAGCAGTATTCGTTCAAGGCCAGGTTGGACGAGGCCCTGAGCAACCTGATCTAGTTGGAGATATCCCTGTTCCTTGCAGGGGGGTTGGACTAGATGACCTTTGAAGGTCCCTTCCAGCCCTAACCATTATATGATTCTATGATTCTATGATTCTATGGCTGGCTGCTGTGCTCTTGTACAGATAAAGTCACGTTTCTACTTCCTACAGAGGCGGAACTGAACCAAAACTCCAACCTGACATCACTCCTCCTTCTAAGTGCAGCTTACTTCTGCTGTGAGCTCAGTCACAAACTTCAGGTCTTGGTGTCCATCGCTGCCTAACCATGCAACCACTTTGGTCTGGCTCCTGCTTTGGAAAATGGGACCCTGTCTCTGGCAGATGACTGCAAAACACACATGAGCAGCAGTGGTCCTACAGCAAGTACACAGCTACTGCTGTTTTCATCTTGATCCTACCACCAGGAAAACTGCGTTGGTATCCTGATGGTTCATTTGCTGCTCAGGATGTAACACACAGATGTGAAGTAAAATCACTACTTTTAAAGTGTTATTTTTCATCGCATCTCATTTACTTTTTGTGCCTTGATCACTCTTTAAAGGCAACAGTATCTTATAGAAAATCTAATTTGCTCCCAGGGTGCAAGCTACTGTTGCTATTACAGATCCATGATAAACTGTCCAAAGCCAAGAAGGGTCAGAATTCCCACAGGCCACATGCTCACAGGTAATGATATGTCTGAAATTTGTGAAAAGGGCAGAAAGCTACATAACTGACCAAGCATGTAAGCACTGAACTCCCTCAGGGCAGGCACTCATTTAGTGCGTGTGTTAAGGATCTAAAGGCATATAGCAATGAATATTTGGAAACACACAAAGCCTGGAGAGAAAGCCCACACATGCATCTAGGAAACCTCCTAGCAGATGATTGACATGCACAGATCTGCTTTGATTCACACAGGCAGAAAAGCAACGTCCGGTTGCCAGGGACCTCTGGCAGCCTGTGAATTTGTCTTGGCTCTTCACTGCAGGTAACCTCAGAGCAGGTGTTGGTTTGTCACTGAGGTGGGGAGAGATGTCTTCTGACCAGCCCCTCAGTAAGATGTCCTCCCTTGATTTTACAGCCCTGGAGCAGAACACCCTGCACGTCTGAGAGGTGATGGATAAGCCTTAGGTGCATCAACCTCTCTGTGCCTTCTCCTCAAGACCTGCGTCTGCTTGGGTACTAGTGAAACAGTCTGTAGAGGCTGTGCTGGAGCAGCCATACAACGCTGTCACTGCTTTGCTGGGGGTCTGCAACTGCAACACTAAGAACGTGCTGTAGAAAAGCTCACCTCTCCCTTTGCCAGCCCCGTATGGACAGAAGAGAAGTCAAGTGCCTATTTGGATGCATTTGCACAAGAGCTGTTCTGATGGGACAGGGATGAGTCTCTCTGCAGTGTGGATCTGCTGGCACAGACTGACAGCGCGGGCTGAGAGTGAGATGTGCCTCGTGTAGGTGGGGATCGCACCAGCCGAGAAAGGGGTGAATGAAAGCGGGCAGGAGCTTTGCTCCATGGAGCTTCTCTTCACCAGCATCCTCAAACAGGTCCCAGCATCCTCCAAACAGGTCCTAGCATCCTGCAAAAGTCCAAAGGAGGGCTCCGCTTTCCTAACCTCTGCCAGATGCCATGCAAGCAACATGAGCAAGTGCAAGCAGTGCAGAGAAGAGCAGCAAATACAGTTGATGCACTCAGAGACAGGCGGAATCCATCACTACTCCAGGGCTAATTGTATTCCTGATATGTACGTACATAGCTGTGTACCTAGGGAG